TGCCACAGTAGTTTATTTCTTGACCACCCAAGATATAAGAGTATTGCCTAGCAACAAGCAGTAGCCAATTGTGGACTTCTGAGAGAGAGGGTGGGCCCAGTCAGCATCCAAGAACATCTTGAGATGAAGATCAATTTTGGTAATTGGTAGACCAAATTCAAGTGTGCCTTTGATGTAACGAAGAAGATGTTTCAGCAGGTAGATATGAGATGGCAAAGGTTCATGCATGTGTTGCGAGAGAATATTAACCGTGAATGCTATATCTGGACAAGTTAACTTTAAGTACTGAAGCGATCCTGTTATCCATCTATAGAGATTTGGTTCCTATAGCAGTGGATTAGTGGAAATATTATCTAGTATTTTGGTACACATCAGATTAGATAGCTGGTTGCAATGAGTTAAATAGGCCTAGTGAAGAATCGAAGTGGTATAAGAGCTCAGCGAGAGAAAGTATTGGTATAGAAATGATTGTATTTTGATTCCAAGAAAGTTGTTTCCCAAGCCATGGTTTTTTATTATGAAACATGATTCTAGTTTGCCAATTAGATCGGAGATGGCAGAGGAGTTATGTTTCCAGTTAATTGTATGTCATCGACATATACTAGTAAATATATTTAAGTGTGAGGTTGAGTGAACATTAGTAAGGACAGGATGACCTTGCTATGTTGAAACCTGAGAGAAACTAAATAGTTTGTGAATGTAGTGTATGTATCATTATCTTGTAGCTTATTTGAGCCCATAAATTGCCTTACGAAGAAGACATACATGGTCTGAATGAGTTGAATCCTCAAAGCCTTTTGGTTGACGCATGCAGTCCGTTTCCATGAGAAGAGCATATAAAAATGCATGCAACGTTTAGTTGGTGAATTGTCAATTGTTATATAAGGCTATTGTCAGTAGTACTCGGATTATTTGAAGTTTTTCCACAGGGCTAAATGTCTCCGTATAATATATACCATTCTCTTGCATGTTTCCTTGTGCAACTAGTCGTGCTTTAAACCTTGCTATAGTGCTTTTTGCATGAAATTTTGTTTGGAAAGTCCACTTGTATCCCAAAATAGATGCATGTTGAGGAGGAGGAACAAGAGTCCAAGTGCCCTATTTTTGAATGGCAAAAAATTCTACAGCCATTGCCTGTCTCCATTGAAGACTTTTAAGAGCATCATTGTAGGTAGTCGGTTTAGATTGTGGAGAGATTGAGGACTATTTGTGGAGAAGATTTAGACGGTTACATGGTTTGAGTGAGTCGGTTTGCATGCTTGTTATCATTGGGTGTCTTATGGGCTGAGGACAAATGCTTGGTAAAGGGGGTAACAGAGATGTAGTAGGAGTGGTATAATTGGTTGAGGTATGCATATTATTTAGAGATGATGGTGGTGACGGCTGTAGGCTGGATGGAGAGGAAATATGGCTAGAGTGACTTGATGGAGAATTTTGAGAGGTTTGTGATATGAGATAGGTACTAGAAAGGAGGGTGAGGGAAACGTGAAGGGAATAAGTGACAGGTTGGGTGTTTGTTGAAATGAGAATGAAGTTTCAATGAAGGTAACATGACACAAGATATATATATATGAGTTGGTTTCCCTATTCAAGCATTTATAACCTTTATATGTATCTAAGTAGCCTAGGAATACACATGATATATATTTTGCATGGTTGAAGTTTGTTGTGAAGATAACGTGGTGTTAGTGGAAAACACTCATAGCCGAATGAGTGTAAATGCGAGTATGATGGCTTAATATAGTGAAATAGCTGAAGAGGAGATAGATTGTTGGTTGTGATGAAAGGCATGCAGTTAAAAAGGTATGTAGCCATTAGGATGTCAAGACAATATTTGTGTGGGATTGAAGCTGTTTATAGAAGCGTCCTAGTAGTATCCACAATGTGTTTGTGCTTATGTTCGGCCAGACCATTCTGTTCAGGGGTATAGGGTCAAATTATTTGGCTGTGAATGCCATTTTGGTGAAGAAACCGGGTGAATTGTTGATTGATACATTCACGGACTCCATCAGTCAGAATTGCATTTATTTTGTGTGAAGATTTCCTTTCTATAAAGATTTTAAAATAAAAGAAAACTTTGGTAACATCTGAGTTATTCATAATGGGAAATAACCAAGTAAAGCTAGAGAAGTCGTCAACAAAAATGACATAGTATTTAAAGCCTTAATTTGAGGTAACTGGAGATCGTCCCCAAACATCGAAGTGTATAAGCTCCAAAGGAGTATGTTTTCTATTTATAGATTTTTCAAAAGGTAATTTGTAACCCTTACAAGTTTTACAAGAGACACAAACATAATTAAAATTTGGTATACTAAGGTGAGGATGATTGTGGGCAATGATATGTAGGACCCTTTGATGAGGATGCCCAAGACGATTGTGCCAGGTTTTCGAGGCACTTCTTAGGGCTTTAAGAGCTAAGAGCGATACTGTAGAGAAATTGGAGGTGATCGGATACATTCCATCTTTACATGGGCCTTTGAGATGTCACGACCCGACCCGGCCAGCCCGAGTTAACGGGGCGGGAGCAAAAGGTCATACGGAAAATACTAATAAAACTTAAACAGTTCTAATTAAAAAAAACTTTAATTAGACAACATAACCATCATCCAATATAAGAAAGAGCCACTAACAACAATAAACTCAGATAGTTCCAAACAGTTCAATTGTCTCAAGACCATTAAAACTTTTAACACATCATTACATAAACTCCACTTACTGTTCAAACTCAGATACAAACTCAAACTTAGACTTAAAATATAAAAACAAATGGAACCTTTCATCCTCTTGAGGTCCCCTACGACGATAAGTGTAAGGTCGTCGTGCAGCCATTACTTTTCTCCTGAAAAAGATTTTCAAACGAGGAATGAGCTAACGCTCAGCAGGTGAAAAACATGTATTTCAAATTTATGAAATATTTTCTTTTATCTTTCATAAACATGTTATTAAGCATGAGAATAATAAAAGAACAGTGTAAACATTGATACTTAACTGTATAAAACAATTTCAATAATCATTTCTTAGACTTTTTCCTTATTCCATATCATCCTTTACTTTCTTTTCCATAAACATTTCATATTTTCTTAAATGCATAATTTTCATAGTCATAAAATATAAATCACCCGTCCCGGAAGTGCTTGATTTTGTACTGATCATGTACACAGTCAATTGTTTGGCCATTTCCTTTACCATAGGCTCTACGAGCCTCCTTTACCATTGGCTCTACGAGCCACCTTTACCATTTTTGACACTTCCGGATCAACATGCACATGCACTTTAATATAATACTTTCATCAAAGGGGTTTGAAAATCTATCAATGTCTCATATGATTTCCTCTAAGTTTTCAGTTAATAAATATCTAATTTTCGAAAATCTATAAACCTTCAATTTCATCAAATCATAGTTTCAAAATTGGTCCTTAATATATATTAATAATTATATAAAATTTTTTAGATTAAAATAATCAAAATAATTCATGAAAATTAAAAATTTACTAAAACCCTAATTTTTCTTCATTTAAGCATTTCTAATAAACTTAGGATTAACATTTATAAAGGGGATTCGTCAAAATTCTAAATGTAAGAAAAACCCTAATTTTTCTCTCCAAAATTTTCTTAAATCTCTACATGTTTTCATAATCAAAATATTCCTCTAATCATTCCCTAAAATTTTCGTGAAGAAATTACGAAAGAAAAACAAAATTTTTATAAAACCCTAAAAGTTTCGTTCTCAATTTCCTCGAAATCTAGAAAGATTCGCTTGAAGATAATCATATCAGAGTAATCCTCTCGTCGTCCTCTTCGATTTGAACTAAATCTCTCGCCGGAAGATCGTCGCCAGAGCGCCCTCGCGGAAGCCGCCCGTCGCCCGTCCGTCCGCTCCTTCTCGGTTTCTTCCGCTCAAACTGTGCGAATGGGGTAGAAATGAGGGCTCGGTTTGATATATTAAGGAGAATTGGGGTTTGCTAAATGACCATATTACCCTCACTTAAGAAATTTTGGTACAAGGAATATAGAAGGGTAGTTTTGGTATTTTTAGACTTCTAAAAAATAATAACACCAAAATTAGGCAAAATCGGGTATAAGTTCTATATACCAAAACGATCAGAATTTTGCGTAGGATTTTCTAAAATTATTTTTGTTACATTCCGTTAACCTTGAAAATCTCACTTAAATCTCATCGCGGCGCTTTGAAAAGCGTGCGACGACCTATTAAGATTATTTTTGGGTTTTACATGAGAAGAATTTGATTTAGCTTCAGATCCTTAAAGATGAAACCCATCGGATCAAAAGTAATAGAAATATTATTATCATTAACCATGTGAGAAATGGAGATAAGATTATGAGAGATGCTGGGAATACGCAGGAGATGATATCAAAAGATTATGAGATGGAATTGGAAGGAGAATGGTACCAAGTGGGCAATCGAGATTGTCTAATAATCTCTAATGGTTACTCTATCTTGACCATAGTATGGAATGGAGTATGAAAGGTTCTCAGCAATGTTTGTCATGTGTAACGATACACCAGAGTCCAAGTACCAGTCAGTTGTAAGTGGCTCGGATGTGGATACCATAGCCGGGATGCACACACACAGGGGGAGAGTGTTTTTAAATGAAAAATTTAGAGTTTTTCTTTCTCTGTAGATCGTAATGTACGATGTTATTTCGTACCGTACGATCAGAGCTTTGTAGGACGATTCTGTGAATAGATCGTACCGTACGAATGTATTCGTACTGTACGATATGTTCAAAGCCAAAACCCTAACAGCCGTTTTAACTTAAGTAAGTTATTTTCCGCCGCTCGTACTGTACGAACACTGTCGTACTGTACGATTTTGTTTAAACACTTACTTAAATTAACCCGTGATTAGTGCAAGAAATCCAGGCTTAATTATAATTTGAACATCGTATGGTACGAACAAATTCGTACAATACGATGAATAGAGACGAATTATAATCGTCCCGGACGATCTCTTCGATTTTGTCTTATTGTACTGTACGATGGCAATCGTACCATACGATGAACAGAGACAATGTTTGATCTCACAGTTCCTGGGCATTCAAGTCTCTCACACTTCAGCCGGCATACTCCTCCATCAAACTCAATATGCTCTCGATCTAGTAGCATCAGCTGGACTGCAGCATAGCAAGCCAACACAAACACCCGTTGCCCTCAGGTCCACTCCAACAGCAGCAGACTCTGCTCTGTATCCCGATTCACATCACTACAGGCAACTGGCAGGATCACTGAATTACCTGACAATTACAAGACCTGACATAGACTATGCCGTCAACTGCATTTGTCAAAAAATGCACCGACCCACCATGGCTAACTTCATCGCCCTCAAACGCCTACTTCGCTACGTTCAAGGCACCGCTACCTTCGGCCTCCCTCTTCAGCCAAGCTCTCTCTAGCTCACCACATACTCCGATGCAGATTGGGCCGGAGACACCCGCGATCGCAAATCTCTTACAGGATTCTGCACCTATCTCGGCACAAGCTTGGTATCCTGGTGCGTAAAGAAGCAGGCCACCGTCACAAAATCGTCCACCGAAGCCGAATACCGAGCTCTCTCCTCCGCCACCTCCGATGTCATCTGGCTTCGGCGACTATTAGCTGACTTCCACATCATTCTGGACAAACCAACTCCAATCTTTTGCGACAATACCTCAGCGATTGCTCTCGCTCACAACCCAGTTTTTCACACCCGGACCAAGCATATAGAAATTGATTATCAGTTTATCCGGCACCACATTGACACCGACGCTATTCTCATTCACCACATAAACTCGGAAGACCAGCCTGCTGACATTCTTACTAAGCCATTGTCCTCCTCTCGGTTTACCCATCTCCGGACCAAGCTGAGCATTCGTTCATAGAACTCTCACCTTTTGGGGGGGCTGTGAAGACACGAGCACCATACCTAGCTCGGCACGTGCTCCGCCAGCCAATCATGCCAAAGCATTTCTCCACCAACAGGCGCACAGTGCTCAGACTGTCACCAACGGCCACTAACGGCCCGCGATCATTACATACCCTATTCACTCTATATATGGTGTAACCGAGCGAACGAAAATACGTGTGAAAAATTTCACTGTTCATGATCTTCTTGCTTGAGTTTTCTTTCTCTTTGTTAACTCCTTGCAGGTTCATTAACAACACCATGCATCTTCAAGTTATGAAGGTTTCTTTTTAGAAATAAGGTATTTGCCTTTCCCTATATAGGGATTTGAAGTTCAGCGAATTGAATCTAATTATGGCCGTGGCAAATTCATATTCATATATATATATATATAGTTGATTCTTCTGAACGACTTTCAGTGTGGATAAACAAATAGAATACATGAATAGGCCAAAGGAAATATATAATATATTTAGCATTTTACATGTTTGAACATGGTTTGACACTTGTGCTCTGAATGAATCTAATGCAATGAGGTCTGAGTCGACCTAGTGAGCAAGATCTTGTTGGCAACTTTTTTTTTACTTTAACCCAGTCTACTTTCATCTGATAATATAAAAGATTATTGTCCATCCGAATTTCTTCATAGTTAGAAGGCTTTACTATTTCCAATACCTCTGCCTTTTGAGCCAGTGAGAGCATTTCAAGCATGTTGATTCTAAGGGCAGCAGTCAGCTTGTAAAGCTCTCCAATCTTCTCTTCAAATAATAGTAATGTTTTTTCCATGTCTTCTTTTCTCCTTTTGAGCTCCCTTGCTGCAACCTTTATTGTCATTTGCTGCAAATTGCTATTGTTGCCCGTTTGCCCTGTTGATATGAGTTTTAACATGGTTTGAACAGCTAAATTTACATTTGCTAACTCCTCCATTGATGCTGTCTCATTTGTTTTTCTTGGGAACACCTTTTTGTTGCTTAGCTCTTTGAGCAACATTGTCCATGGTTCAACCCTAGAAGGGTTTATGTATGGACTGGTTTGCGATCTAAAAGATATTGCAAATTGAACCACTCCAATTGCAAAAACAGCCATTGACCAAGAGCCGCATAGGATCTTGTAGAGATTCGGGGATGTGCTATCACTAGAGTCTCGATAAGTTAGTTTGTGCCCGCTGAGTTTCTTGACAAATGTTCGCATTCTGTACATGCTTTTCTCCATCTTGGTGTAGTATCGCTTGTCCTAAAAACGGATGGACTCCAATGCTGCTATCACCCGTTGGAGTACAACCCTACTTGGCTCATGCTTACCCTCAAGATAATGTAGTCCGATGGGAATCAAGTCGATGAAGCTCTTAATGCTTTCCAGTCTTAGCTGAATGTTGTTGCATGCATCAAGCAATAGCACAGTGCTATCAAGGTAGCAATTGATAAACTTCCAATCTAAGTTACTGCTTGTGGTGGGATTGATGGCTTCCTTAGTTAGCTTCATGCCCATCTTTTGGGCAACCATGGAGGCGTCCAAGATCTTGGAGACCTGGTTAGCAGATATGCCACGCCCTTGAAGCTGGTGGGAATTCTCTGGCTTAAATACAAAGGATTGCTCAAATTGAGTTGAGGGCGGTGACGAGATGTCTAACTTGGGATTGGGGAAGGATTGAACATTGCTGCTGTCAGTTCCCATGCTCATGAATTGTATTTTCTTACGTTGTAATTATAAAATATCATTTTGTAATTTTTATCTTTTCAAGTCAAAGAGGTTCGACTGAGAAACAATGCAAATAAAATTTTTTTGAAAATGTTTAGAAGATTGAAATATTTTTGCGATTAAGTCAAATAATCAGTCCTTTTTACTATCAAACACCTTTACGTGTAATTTTTTTTTCTTCATTTCATTCTAGGCTGCAAACGAATCAAATCAAGTCGAGTATGTGAGTGCTCATGTTTGAGTTCATTTATTATTAATTTGTTCAAGTTCGGTTCATGTTTGATTCGAGCTTTACTGTTTGTGTTCATGTTTGATTCGTTCAAAATTAATGGTGTTCATGTTTGGTTCATATTCGATTCATTTAGTACTTATCGAGCTTTAACGTGAACATATGTAGCGATTTTTTTAAAACTATCGAACAAGCATATTCAAGAACAAATCTAACGAGAATTTTTGAGCTATCAAATGAATAAGATCTAACGATGTAATATAATAAATTATCAATTGTAAGGAAATTAAAACCACAACCTATATTATAATATTTAATTACTTTAAAATATATTAATTAAAAATAATTATATTATTATGTTATAATAAATTAAAGTATTTATATTATGTATATTTATCAAATTTATAATTAAATATTAATCGAGTTTTTATCGAGCTTATTCACGAGTTCTAAATCGAACATGAATCGAGCTTACTGTCGAGCATGTTCACGAGCTTCAAATGACATTGTTCGTGAACATAAATGAACCGAAAATATTAGTGTTCAAGCTTGTTTATTTTGGGATCGAGTATTAAAAATGTTATTCAAGTTTATTTGTTTAGTTAGTTAAACGATTACAAACGAGCTTTAATCGAACCGAGCAACGAGTAACTCGTCGAACGTTTGATTCGCTTGCAACCGTAATTTCATTTTCAATTAGAGATGTCAATATGAGATAAAAAGGTAGATTGGGTAGCAATTTGAGTAAAAATAACCCAACTTGAATTGTCAGATCGAATCTGATTCTGTGTTGGAAGACTCAACAAGAACTTGACGATATTTTACACAAATTTAATCAGACAATATTTAACATTAGGCAAATCTGCCTTCAATTTGATTTTTCAGAGAAATGCATCCGAAAACTCTTTCAGATCAAAATATACCTATTTTTTATAGAGAAGAATTTTTTTAAGTTGGTTGTGACTAAGGCTTGTTAGAACAAAATTCAAATAAAATTCTAAAAAGAATTTGATTAAGGCCGAATGCAAATGAGAGAAAAAATTGAGTCATGTTTGAACCCTATTCAAACTATGAGGCAGTTTGGTTTACCGCAAAAGGGTGTAAAGAATTCCAAATGCAGGGGTTTTGAAAATATTAATATTTGGTATGAAGTAAAAAGAATCTAGAGAAAAATTTTTGATGGGAAAAGAATTCATACTCTAGTTCAAATCTAGTGTACTTGAAATTCCGCATATTTGACTAATTTTCTAATACATCGTAAACTCACCGTCATTGCCACTGCCGGCCGCCTTCATCTACTGCTGGCTCTGACAGCCGCTAGCCACCCGCCATACTAGCGCCGACCACCCCTGACCACCCTAAATACAATCTTTTTGCACTTTGCACTGCATTCATTTTACTCAAATAAAGAAAAAATCTCATTAATTCCTTTTCTAGGTAATCAAATCGCCCATATGTGTTCTATTTTGAAGAAAAAAAATATTCTTCCATATTCGATAATGATTGAACAATTTTGAATTATGATTGAGCCATTTTTAATAATGGTTGAAACATCTTATGTCATGTTCGACCTTCTCGTAAATTCTTCAACCCATTGAGCAACATTCAAACCATTGTTAGTGCCTTGTATTCTTATTCAAAACTTCTTTGACCCATCTTTGATAATAATTTTATCATGATCAATGAATTCATTTTGACATGAGTGAAGCAAATGAGAAGTTAATCTAAATTGTTATTACATTCATTTTAAATCTAATTTAGTGACTTTGATTCATCATGATAAGCAATTTGAACCACCTTCCAAGTCATTTTTTTATAACATAATGTTTTTTTAAAGGTTATTGAAATCATTATATGAAAAAAAAGTCAACATGTTAGATTTTTTTTTTTTTTTGAAAAAGGGGTGCAAGCGTGATGCTATAAGATGATAAAAAAAATATATTAAATAAATTTAGAAATTGTGCTAAAGTATTCCATTTTGAGAGGTTTTCATTTGTCCTTTGTTTTTAGTTACCAACAACAAAATTTATGAGTTACATTAATCTGATTTAGGCTTCAATTGGGCTAGCCTTTTTGTTGCTTTCTAAAGCAATTTTTTAGTACAAAAAATTTTTGAACTAAAAGTTTTTTACTAGAAATCTGATTTAGAAAATAGCAAAAAAGCCATCTCAAAAGAAGCCTTAGTTTAAATTAGCACTTTTGCTGTGGAAACAATGGAACATGAAAAATAGAGAAAGAAAAGTAACAAGAAGAAGAGCAAAAATAGTCTTGTTTTCTATTAATCTCTGGGTATATTCTCCCCTTGTTCCAGCTGTTATATGTATTAACTCATTCCTCTTTCTAAAAATAGTAAAACAAGAATAAAAATATATCACGTGCTTTTGTAATATAGTTGGTTATGAAAGTAGTGGAGTCTAAGTGTTGGTGATAAGATGAGCCTGAGGAGCATTTGAGACAGCATGTGTCCATATCATTTATTCTACCCAGCCTCAGAAGAGTTTGTGTCAGACTAACTGATTCGGGTAGGCACTGAATCGGTAGGTATGTTGAAATATCTGCCACATTGAATGTAGATGGAGTAAGTATGTTTGAAGGTAAATTAACTATGTAGGCATTGTCTTTCACCCTTTGCTTGAAAACAACAGGTTCAATATTCTGTGGGCTTAGCTTAGATTAGGTTCCTGAAGGAAATCTTTTCTTTCTTAAACGCACCATGATTAGCTCGCCTGGGTGAAAGATTTTGAAATGGCGATGTGCATCTGCTTTTGATTTGTAGGCTACATTGGACTGTTCCAACTTTTTATGAACTTCCTTTAGTGTATATTTAAAGTTCTCGACCAGCTTATGGGTGGCCACATTGTGACACTTTGGTAGCACAGTTATATCCATAATGTGGTTAGATTGTTTAGTGTAAACAATTTAAAAGGAACACATACCTGTAGATTTATTTTCCATTGAATTATAGGCAAATTCTGCCTTTAAGAGTGCATCATCCCATTGTTATGACTGATCTTGTACTAAACATCACAACATGCTTCCAAGGGACAGGT